GGTAGCCCAGGCTGGCCTCAAACTCACAGAGATCCGCCTGGCTCTGCCTCCCGAGTGCTGGGATTAAAGGTGTGCGCCACCACCGCCCGGCTTAGAACCCTTTTTTAAACACTATCTCAGGTTTTGGGTGGAGATTCTTGCTACCACATTGGGCGCCAAATGTAGCTATGAGTTTCTCTGGTCCCACCCAGCCTCGCGGTCCCACAGCCACTTATAAAATAATTACCCAGGGGTTTATATTAATTATCAATGTTATAGCCTATTGGCTCAGGCTTCTCACTAGCTAGCTCTTACAACTTAACTCAGTCCATTTCTAATAATCTATGCATTGCCACGTGGCTTCATGGCTTACCAGTACTTTCACATCTTGCTTCTCCTGGCAGCAGTTCATTGTCTCTCCCCCCACTCTCCTTTCTTCCTCTCTCTAGTTTGAATGTACCACCTAACCTTATTCTGCCTCACCATTGGCCAAACAGCTTTATTTATCAACCAATCAGAACAACACCTATTCACAGCATACAGAAACACATCCCACAGCCCTATGGTTCTTTTGATCTCTCTGGTGTCCGTATCCCTTACTGGCCATGCTTCTGGTGGATCAGTGAGCTTGTGTCCTGACCAGTCCTTTTATTTTTGGCCAGCATCTGTAACGGCTTCATAAACTCCTTTTTATTCCAGAGAGATATTGGTCTCAAAGTTTTTATTAAACAGTATCTTTGTTACTTTTCAGTTCCCGTGTCAGAGAAGCTGCAGTCAGCAATGGAGCTCATGGAATACAACCTGCCAGATAGCAAAACTCTGATGGGTGCATTCTGGAGAGGCAAAGCCCTGGGGAATAGTCTCCAGAATGCCTCTTGCTTCTGCTGTGCCTTCTTCTGATTGCTGCTGCTATTGTGTTCTTTCTGTATCTGGCATGGTGTGATTACTATGTGAAGGAATCCCATTGTATCTAGTACATGTTTCATGGGAAATTCCCACTCCTCACTGGGCAATTTCCTTGCATATCATAATGAAGATGATTTTTATATAAGATTAATGATGCTTAATTAGATAAATGACTTAGTTGAACTTTCTAAGTCAACATAAAAGATACAGGTGGTTGAGACAGTTAGTGAAGATGATTAGGGAAATTGTTTAGGCTGCTGTGCCAATTGCTCGAGAGATTAAAAAAAAGACAGAAATAAGTTTAGAAGTTACCTTGCTCTTTGCTAAATGTGAGATTTGCTGAGGATAAAAAATAAGAACAAGAAAGTTTCATGCATTGTAGACCCATGAATTCTGCCTATGGGGGAAAAATAGGAAGATGATCAAGGAAAGCAATTACACCCCTACACCTAAGGTGAGGGCTGAGTTCCTTGGTCATGTAGCTTACAGAATTAATCACCAGCTTTGGTATGCACTTTGAAAAGACAAAGTTACGTAAAGAAATTAAATAACCCTATTGTGTATAGAGAAAAGTAGGTGGTTGTTACCTAGAAGACCACTTGTTTAAGGTTTTGTAGAGTAGAAATAGGACACGAATCTGCTACACCAAAACCACAGACAGCTGCCTGCCAGGACAACAGAACTGGCAGAAGTAGACTTGGCTTGCTTAAAACTTAGTTAATCAACAATAAAAAAAAATCATTGCTTTGGGATGAAGACGTTATGGTGGGAGAAATACTACAAAGGAAAATCTTTAACTACATGTGGGCTTCTAAGAAAAGCACATAACGTGATTATAGTGTGATTTCTTCCTGTGTAAGGATTTAATTTGTTTTTGGAAAGTATGTAACTTGTGGTTGTAAGGTAATCTTTTATGGCATAGAAATTTTTATCTTAGGTGGTATAAAAGGGATAAGAGAAAAATGAAGAGTCAGAAGAGAAAAAGAAGAGAATTAAGCTTTGTCCCCTCAGGTAAGTCTCTTGTGTGTTACGCACCAATGCCACATTTCCTCTCCAGTTTCTCGGACCTGTTGTGGCTGCAACTTAAAAAAAAAAAGCTTATAATATGGAGCTGATGGTTTCAGAGAGTTTGAGTCCAGGATGACAAAGCAAAGGTATGGCAGGAGGATCAGCTGAGAGCTTGTATCTTCATCAGCAGTCACAAGGCAGAGAGAGAACAATGGAACTGACTCAAGTCTTTTGAAGTCTCAAAGCCCACTTCCAGCGACCCATCTCCTCCAACAAGGCCACACCTCTTAATCCTTACCAAACCATTCCACCAATCGGGACCAAGTATTTAAATATATGAGTCAATGGAGACCATTCTCATTCAAACCACCACAAAAAGAAACATCAACTCCATTAGATTCAAAAGAAAAAAAATAGAAGCCAGATGATTGCTGCTCTGAGAAACCGTCCTGTGATCTTTGATCTCCATAAGTTCTTAACCCCTTTGCCTGTGCTCTTTGAAGGGAAGAGCATCTGTTTCTAATATCCTGCCAGATGGAATCAAGCTCATTTTCTTTCCCAGTTCACAGCAATCTCAAGACTGCCAGAATCTTTGTCTTAGGGTTGCCATGGCATGGAATTCTATTTACATATTTTCCTGCTTCTTAGCAACAGATAAAGACCTTGGGGTGAGGGTCTGAGCAAGGATATTCCATTCCACTCTCAGGATCTGTGTTGGCTTGTATTGTTATCTCATTCTCACTAAGAGAATTTGAAAAGTGAAAGTTTTAGGGGGAAGGTCTGGTGGGTGGGGCTGGGGAGCAGAAAAGGTTTACTGGAGTTGTTGGGAGCACTTCAACAAGAAAGGTTGCCTTAGCTCAGCTGAGGAGAGACCCAACATGCTTCTTCCTTCCCTGTGGAATACCCAGAACCTCGACCCTGGACACAAGAACCATTAGGTTGGCAGATGAAGTACTAACCTTGTTCCTGGCCATGAACTGACTGATTTCATTGACTTAACAAGCTTAGTTTGGGGAAAAATTAAGAAGAAAAAAGAATGAAAAAAAGAAAAGCTGTTATCTTGAGGGGCAGCAAGAGAGAAGACTGGTGTCGGGAACTGGAGTGAAGTCTGTTCCCCCATAGGTGGAGGGGTAGCTAAACCGTAGGACGCTAGGCCTTCTGGGTCCTTCTGCCCAGCTCTGCCTCACAGTCCCATTGCTGCTCTAGCTCTCTCTCCAAGCCCCAGCAGAAGCAGGGCCTGCAGGTAATGGGGTCCAGAAATTCCAGGGAGTGGAGTGGGGACCCCCTAGAGATCTGACTCTGCCTCGGCTTGTCCTGGTTCACACCGGTGCAGCTCCAGGCACTCCCTGAAAGGCATTAGATTCCAACTTCCACTGTGCACAGGCTGTTAGTGCTGGAAGATGGAGGAGATTTTACAGATGGCTGTGTTGTAGTCCCCAAATCAAAACCAGCATCCTTGTCTAAAATTGGTCTATTTTTTATGTTATTTTTAATTTTTTATGGTCATTGGTGTTTTGCTTGTATGTATGTCTGTGTGAGGGCATCAGAATCCCTGGAACTGGAGTTACAGACAAGTGTGAGCTGCCCTGTGGATGCTGGGAATTGAACCTGGGTCCTCTGAAGGAGCAGACAGTGCTCTTAACCGATGAGCCATCTCTCCAGCCCCCAGGTCTATTTATTTTTATGTTTTAAAATTTTTGGCTGCCTCTGCAGACATCATGATGTTATTAACTTGGCCATGATGTTATTAACTTTGACAATCTCTGTTTCCTGATGACTTGCAGTTTTCTTGCACAAGATAAATCCCCATATTATAATCTCTTGAGAATCTCTCTCTTCTCTTCTCTTTCTTTGATCTTGAATATTCTTTGACTAGACTGTTTCAAGATGGAAATATTGTAAATTACCATGTTGATTTAAAAGAGGTTTGAAGCCAGACATGGTAGCACATACCTTATACTCAGGAGGGCGATGTAGGAAGGTCTGGAGTTCTAGGCCAGCTTTGGCTACAACCCAACACCTTGTCAAAACAACAACAAAAATAGCAAAGTCGAAAAAGGTTTTATTACACTTTCTTGTCCCATGTAGTAAATGTATAATCTCTAAAGTGTCTAGTGTTTAAACTGATCTTAATTTTTGTTGAACATTCAACAAGTCTGTTCCTGTTTGTCTGGAATTGAAATATCAAAAGCAAACAGAATGTATATTTCACAGATATAACAGATTTGTACATATTACAGATTTAAGAATATTAAAGATTCAAGACTTTCTCTATATATATATACGTATATATGTATATAGAATGTCTATGTATGAATGACTTTCATCCTAATTTCGATAACATAAAATGTACTTTTAATACATTGAATATAAAATTCACATATGCCGTTTCTTTGTTCAGGTTAATTGTGGATTGAGTTTCATCACAGGACAGTACCATGCAGGGGTTCAAGAAGAGCCCTTTGACCCTCTGGTTGGAATACTATGGATATAATAGGTAAGCGTCAGGACTCAAATGTGCTGTTCTTCAAGCTGGCCTGTCATGTCAAACTGCTCATTCTAAGGAGTCATTTAAGTATCTGCCGGTTTCTTCCTCAACTGAAGCCATCTGGGAAACCCAGTAATCACTTAGGAAGGTTTCCTATGAATCAAGAAAATACTTGTAGACCCTTTTGGAGGTCAGAACATTGTTCTCTATCTGATTTGTCCATGTGCTCTGCACAGGCCTTTAAGTGTAAGAGCTAGACAGTAATAAGCCTGAGCTAATGGCCAAGTAGTTATAAATAATATTAAGCCTCTGAATGATTATTTTATAAGCGGCTGTGGATCCGCAGTGGGGGTGGACAGGACCGAAAAACCTTTCTGCTACACAGGCCAACCTTGTTGGGCTTCCTATTGAAAATTGGCAGAAGCTTACAAATGACTTTGTTTTTTGTAAAGGAATCTTATCTCTTAAAACTTGAAGGGACTTGAGCCATGCTTTAAGGTCAATGCCTCCCCAGAACACAAAAAATGACTTACATGGATCATAAATCATCAAATTCTAGACTTTCTTTACAATCAGGCTGAAAAAATAACAACATTAAAGAATATCTTAGCTTAGACTTTTGAGCTGTTGGTCAGTCCAGAACTGGTTTGTAAAGGGCTTTTACTAAACAAAATTAAGAAATGTCATTAATACAATGTTTGCAAAATGTGTTTCTTCCACTTTTCCTTTGTTCTAAGACTCCTGTAGTTAAGTTTAGGAGCCCCTTCAAACTCTTATTCGAGAGTCATGGTGCTTACTAGCAACAAAGAAACACATACTGTAAATTTCTCAGACCCACTCAAACCACTGAAAAGTCTGGAAAATCTTATGGCTGATAGGATGGACTCTTCATTCAGATGATTTGAGTTGCAAGTCTGTCATCCAGACTTGTGACAAGAGGCACATTGCTCATCCTTTCTGTGACTCTTGGCTCACATTGAAAATAGTAATTAATATTGTAGACCTCACATGATTATCGTGATACTAAATGAACTGGATGAAAAGCACTTAGCACAGTATGTAAGAGCTATCCTTTTTGTTATTTCCTGTAAATATTTCCCCAAATAATTGTTTCCTTATAAAAAACTTCAGTATATCCCTTAAGTATGAACCAAATATACCTAATGAGCACGCTAGGATGTTCATTTGAGATATGTCTGGGGGATAATGTTTCTTGTGAAGTTGAACTACTTATCATTTGGAAACTTGAAGTTCACTGCCATATGTGATCTCTAGAAGTTGATGTAAAGAAAAAAAATTAATGAAAAAAATTGTTGGAAGAACAGATATGTGAAAATAATAGACAACAAAACCTCTGAAAATTTCAGTTACCACAGGGAAACCAAATAGAATGTCTACTTTTAAGATACCTTTGAAATGTGGGGTGATGAAGAACTAAGTTAAGGCAGTAAGATGTCTACTTGCTTCAAAATCTGAGCACTAATTTTCTTAGTTATTGGCATGACCCTTGAAAACCCACCAAACACAAACTTGAAAGGACTAGGCCCACTTTGAGAGCAGTGCCGATACAGTTGGTGAAGACGCACACAGTAGTTTTACAACCTAAAAATCTGAACTGTGTTGTAGAGTATTATTTCAAGGTGCGTTACTTTTGTTTTTGCTCTGGAACATTTGTTTAATGATGCAAAGATATGTTTGATTAAATAAAATTCACCTGCGGTCAGGAGGCAGCGTCAGCTGACAGGAAGTGGTAGGGAGGAGCCAGGTAAGAAAGGGTTTATATAAGGAGGGGCGAGGAGAAGCATGAGGGCTTTTTGGAGGACGCAAGCAAGGAGAGGAGGTGAGCTACTTGCTATTCAGCCTCTGAAAAGCAGAACTCCACCTTAACCTTTGAACCTTGAGTTCTTTAGAGGGAGAGAGGTTTAGTTAATTAAGTTCCCTTCGTAGCTTTGCGAGAAGTTGGAGCCAGAGGGAACATTTCATTCCACTATGGCCCTTGAGGCCTAACTGCTGCTGGTAGTGGTGGAGTTGCAGTTGCTGATTTGGACAGCTGTGGCTTAAAAGGCAGCACCCATTTAAAAAAGGACAGCAGAACTTCCACCAGTCGTGACTTTCAGTGTCGACTACACGAAAGCTTCCCTGATGAGAACTGAGTGCTGCACTAATCTGTGGGTATAGAGACACATAGTTAGAAGGCAGCTTGATGCTGTGTCCATTTAGCAAAATTAGGGCAGTAAATTTACTCCAGGATCTATGAGCTCCCAAGACAAGGGTTCGTGTTCAGACTTACAATTCCTCCTGTGGATCACTCCTGAATCCAATTAGAAATAAGTTGGTTACTTCCATAGCGTTCATAGCGGTATTGTACTCATGGACGTATCTTGCCAGACTGGTTGTTATAATAGCTCTCAGGGGTCACCGCTCCATAAGACTTATTCCAACATCTTTAAAAGATAATTAGTTGTGTGCGCATTGCACACGCACGTGCATGCACACACACACACACACACACACACACACATGCAGTAGTGTATGTGCATATGTCACACATGTATGAAGGTCAGAAGACAGCTTGGTAGAGCCAACTCTTATTTTCCACCTTATGTGAGTTCTGAGGATTGAGCTTGTAGGTTGCCATGCTTATGCGGCATGTGCCATCTTGGTGTCCCTTATCACCTTCTATTTTCTAATCCTTAAGTACTTTCCTAATTTATTTAAACTGTTTGGTTTGTTCTTTTATATGTTGTTCCAAGTGCTGTATTTTTTTTCTCAGCAGTTATACTTTTCAAGTATCTAGCTATGTTGACTCGTAAATCCATATTCCTTTGAACTGTTGGCTGATGGGGGAAGAGCTGAAGGCCTGCTTGGGGTGATCTCAGTCTGAAGACCATTGTCTCAGCAGAGTATGAGATTTATGGGTTTAGGTGAGGAATTACAAAGTCGCCTTTACTGAAAGCCAGGACTGAAACTGTGCCTTTCTTTGGTTTAGTTTAGCATGAGGAGAGGTAAAGGGGTCTGGGGCAGAGTTTCAGAAGCTGGGAACACTGTGGATTAGGCAACTGCTTGGGTCAGGCGACATCCCCTTCAAGCTCCTGGGAAAAGCAGCATTGGAAGGGACGCTCTTCAGGGGTTCTCACTTGGCCTTTGGAGATGGAGGAGCTGAGCGTGTGATGACCTGGTGATTGGCTTTGGCCCTTCCCTGACGTATAGGCTGGTGTACTTTACCTTAATTCTACCTGAGTGGTCACTGCTGGTTTCTGAGAAGAGGCTTTAATGGTCTACAACCAGGGTAATACCTTGAAAACATTCATCTCCTGTGTGTGGCACCTTGTGGGGTCCCTCAAGATTGCCTTTGACAGCCCATCTATCCTGTATGTCACAGGTCATGGCACAGCTCTCTTTGGTGTCTTATTTAGCTTATTTCTATTGTTATTTGTTTCTTTTCTTTCTTTCTTTTTATGAGACAGGATATTCTGTGTCTTGGGCTCACCTCCATATTGATAAATAGCCAAAGATGAATTTGAACTCTGGGTCTTCCTGCCCCTACCCCCAGAAGTTCTGGGATCACAGGTGTGCACTATTACAGCCACCTTGATGGTTATTTCTTAAAATATGTTATTTTCAGTTTGTTACTGGAGTAGGGGATGGAGGATGCCACAAGGATTTTTCCCAGATATGTTTTGAATTTCAAAAGTATGTATCAGTTTCTGTTGTTGCAATATAGTGCTTTGTGTGTGTGTGTGTGTGTGTGTGTGTGTGTGTGTGTGTGTGTGTGTGTGTGTGTTGGAGACAGAGCTTCCACAACTGGCCCAGACTGACTTTTAACTCAAGGTCCTCCTGACTCAGTCTCCCCAAAGCTAGGATTACAACAAGTATGTACTATCACACTTTTGTTGTGGCGTAACATATGCTAGAAGGCAAGAAGTCTATGACTCAATTATACCTGCAAATGATAAACGGTCAGCAGGGTTTTATTCATTTGACCACCAAAAGATGTGTTTTATATGTGGCACATTCTACAGAGGGGAGTTTAGTTTTCTAAAATGATGAAACCATCCCAAACCAGAATTTGGATAATGGGAAGTCTCGGTTGTCTGTTCCACCACTGGTTGTGTGTTCTACCCCATTCTGCCCTTACAAAAGCTTTTAAATGGGATTCAGAACATCTCTATCCTCTGGATAAAGGTGACCAGGAACTGTCCCTTACTATTGTGGTGTTTCTTTTTCTATTTCCCCTCAAGGGTACCTCATGGGTACCCTTTCTTATCCCTGTACTTACAGGTGTAGCTTGCTGTTACTAAGCTTATCCAGAGTTACTTGAATGACATGCCAAACAGGGAATAAAAAGGAAATCCATGATGGTTGTCTTCAGAGGCCCTGTCCTCATTTCTGGGATGTGCACATGCACGGGACACACAGAGGTGGCTGCAGGGTCCCCACTTCTGAACTCTGAGTCTCTTTCTTCAGTTCTCTCATAATTCCTTGTGGTTTTTACTTTTCGTTCCCTGGAACCTGATAGGAGAAAAATGGGATTGCCTTGTGGAGTGTTTGACTTGTGCCGTTTCTTTTATGACAGAGTTGGTGATAACGTCACCATGCAGTCTGTGTCCTCGCAGATCAGTGACAATGGGTGAGTTGACTTGACTGATCTAAGTTATAGCACATATTGGGAACATATAGCACTAATTGGTTTATTGATTTTCTTAGAGATGAAAACATGTATATGTAACTTTCTTTCTTTTAGGGGTAAAGTAGAGAAAAAATTAAGCTGATCACCAGGCGGGAGGGGATTTGTCATAACCTGTTTATAACTCTTAATATCTAGCAGTCAGAATTCTTAGGATGCCATCAGCAACCCTGCATATGACCCTTTCTCAGGTTAGTCTAGAAAGAGGAGGGAGTTCTGCTTGGGACATGGAGGAGACAGGAATGGAAGGTAGCAGAGCCCCGAGCAGAAATGGAAGGGGCAGAGTGGGGCTTGAAAGGGGGCCTCACTCACCTTCCAGAGCTCTGCCACTAGGGTGAGTAGCAGGTGCTCCAAACCCAAAACATCCAGTGGGATTGAACAGGCGCAGGCCTGCAGCTACTGTACCTTCCATGGGGGGCAGGGAAGGCAGACATGATGAGTGAAAGTAAGGAGGGATGGAAGGACTGAAGAATGAGACATTAGATGGGACTGGAGGGGTGCTAATAAAGTAAAGGGCTGTTTCCTATTGTGTCTGGTTCAGGAGGAAATAATTGTTCTTAGTCTTGAGTCACTATATTCTAACAGGACTCTAATAGTATTACTGTCATATAAAGTGTCATTTTATAGGAAATAGGACATTAAATTCCAAATAACTGATTTGTATGTGAGGATATTAGGAATCAATCCATTTATAAGCAAGAGATCAATGATAACTGAGTTGAACTTTTATGAAAACATGAATCTAGGAAGTAATTCTGTGTCTTACTGTATGTCTTTTAATCACTTAGCACTGTCTCAAATGGATGCAAGCAGTGCTCTCAGGTGGAATGACTAATGAAATGTAAGATGTAAATGATAACTATGTACATGTGCTGTATATATACATCTATACGCACATACACTCATGCATGCACACACAAATTGAGATATGGGCTGTTCACTGCAGGGACATCTAGGTGAGCATAGAATTTTCTCAGTGCTGTGTCTAACATCCTCTCATGAGAAGCTTCTGCACGGAATACTTTTGGTCTTGGGTAAGAAGCCGTAGACGGAGTTGTCTTTCTCCTGGAGTTTCTTCTAATATCTTACTGTGTTTGAAACTCTAATAGAGTTGGCCAGTGGAGGAGGGAATTCCATGTGGAGCCAGAAGGAACTCGCGGTAGGTCTGGGATGGAAGAGAACATGAACACTGGTCCTGCAAGTGGTCCTTGCCTGCCAGGTTGCTGCCATCTGGCAAGGCTGGTGCTCTAGAGCCAGGGCCATCGTCAGACTGAACGGAGTCCCTGTGTGAGGGCAGGACATTCGTCCTTTTTAAGATGCAGAGTGGGATGGGGAAAGAGACTTGAAACTAAAGACCAGGAGTCATGGAGACTGAAGCCAAACTTACGGCAAACTTAAGCTCAAATATTACATATGATACTAGGTTCAGGAAGAGAGAAGGGGCTTTATTGACTTATTTGTTCGTGTATTTACTTACTTATTTTTTCTTTTTTCATAAATTAACAAAATGACAAGTGTTTATTGGAAAAATCCAGGACTCACAGGCAGGATGATAGGAAACTAAAATATGCTGTGTTCCACACAGAGAAACCCTGTCTCAAAAAACCAAAAAAAAAAAAAAAAAA